CAGTCCAAGTTCCCACCGACCAATCAGAGGGATCAAGAGGTCCTGGCGCGCGGGGGCAGAGTTGGTGACGCAGCTGTGCAAAGTAGACAAGAAAAAAGCCTCGCGGGTGACCTCCGGGAACTACGTCCATCTTCCATAAACGACCATGATTTTATTCAACTTATCGAGTATTTTTCAAGGGACCGGGAAAATATGTTCACTAGATAAAACGCTGATTTTGTAATGTAGAAAATTAGGAAAGACAAAATTCAGGATGACACGGCACACAGGGACCGGGAAAAAATAATCACTTTATCGAGATATTCACGACCATGATTTTATTCAACTTATCGAGTATTTTTCAAGGGACCGGGAAAATATGTTCACTAGATAAAACGATGCTTTTGTAATGTAGAAAATTATGAAAGACAAAATTCAGGATGACACGGCACACAGGGACCGGGAAAAAATGTTCACTCTATCGAGAGATTCAAATTTGCGAGTTTCAAATTATCAAAATATATCTTTTTTTTTATAAGTTTATAGAGAATTGTTTTAACAAATGTTCGTTAGACAAACCTTTACTCGGGTAAAACCTCGGGCGAAGCCGGGTACATCCGCTAGTTTTATATATATATCAATATATATATAAATGAATGTTTGTATGTCCGGTATACAAATTCGCAGTAGTTCACTAATTCAAACCAAAATTTCCATACATAGGTAAAAAAAAAACGAGGATGACGATAGGCTATTTTAAAAATATATAAATCATTTATTAAAAAACTATATATTCAAATTATTCAACTTAGCTCACGAGCAGCGCCCTCTATCAATTACTAAAAGGTTATAAATACGTTTAAAATCTAAATCTTCTCAATATTTTATTAATAATAGTTCGCTTAATAATAATATTTATATAATAACTGCTTTAATTTGAAATATTTGGTAGGTTTTATTTATTTATATATTTTCATCTTTAGATATAACTGATCTAATTCGCCGGTTAAAATAGTTCGCTTAATAACACATATAATATAAATATTTATATAATAACTGCTCTAATTTGAAATATATGGTAGGTTTTATTTATTTCTATATTTTCATTTTTAGATATAACTGATCTAATTCGCCGTTTAAAATAACTGCTCTAATTCGAAATATTTGGTATGTTTTATTTGTGTTCACTCTATTTCTATTTATTTGAAGTATTATAATTTCCATGTTTCAAAACCCTATTTCAAAAGGGTTGTTAGAAATATGTAAGGCCTGAAATAGCTTTACATGCGAACATTTATAATGCCAAGCGTAGCTTAATGGTTAGGTGTGCGGCTTCGTATTTCCGCAACGTTGGTTCGAAATTTAGCCTGGGTGTTTTTTTTTTTTTTATTATTGAAGCAAAGTTTTTTTTACAGTACCAAAATTTCCATACAGAGGTAAAAAAAATACGAGGAAAACGATAGGCTATTTTAAATTATATATAAATTAAATATTAAAACTATATATTCAAATTATTCTGTTTAGCTCACGAACAGCGCCCTCTATCAAGGTTATAAATACGTTTAAAATCGATATCTTCTCAAATTTTATTAATAATATTTCGCTTAATAATTAGAATACTTGATCTAAATCGAGATATTTATAGACGCTCGCTCGATTTGAAGATTTACACATGTATATATCGTAACTAATCTGACTGTAAAGTTTGGAGCGGGACGTTTCACAAAAGTGACGTCCACGGTGCCAATTTATAATTGTAACGAATAGTATTTGAATAAAAACATTTAATCGGGTAAAACCCGGGCGTTGCCCGGGTCATTCGTCTAGTATGTCATAAAAAAAGACGTATATTCTAGTTACGTTACCAATTCATGCAGTCGTGGATGGTAAAAATGAATGATAACTTTTGTCTCATTAAATATTTATTATTTTGATTATTTTTTTAAAGCAAACAGTATTTGCATACATAGAACTAACAATTGTTATTATCTATTTACAAAAAAAAACAATATTGGGTTGTATTCTTTTTGTTAAGGATTCCCCTTCATTCTAAAATTCAACTCTGTGATTATAGAATTCCAATTATTTTATGAATAATAAAAATCATATTTTTATTATGTCATATATGTATATTTATCAATTATTTTTTTTTATCTATTTATATCTATTTTTCCTATATTTATCATTATATAACCATATTTATGTATTTAACCTTTTAATAATATTATATAAAGCGCGAAACGCGTTCGTTGATGGCTTTTTTTGATTTATCAAGAAATTGGATTGGCCAAATATCAGGGAACAGGTTAAATCAATGTTTAGTTGATTTCTGTTCCACCAGATGAGGCTTTGCCTTCTGTAAAGCACATGTGCTCCTGGTCAGGATATGCCATTTTTATTTTTGATTTCAACACCTGATCTTTTTATCTTTTTTTTATTTCGTTTTTTTTTTTCATAATATTATATGGACCTTGAAATAAAGTAGTTTTAATCTCAATTAGAGAGAGAGAGAGAGCAAATATGCAAAGTTTAAATTGAACAAGTTGAATACAAATAGCAGGCTTATACTATGTAATTAATTGATGGCAAAAAGGCTTATTATTTATGATGTAACAGCTAAAGAACTATAAGTTTGAATCAATATTTTGAATAATTTGGCATATTATTACTGCAATCCACGCATATGTATGTACAGTATATGTTCATAGTTTCATTGAATATTTTCACCAGGAATTTTCAATCATGGACAAAATTAAGGAAATGGAAAGTTTTTGATGTCGATAGTCGTAAATATTTAATGAGACAGAGGCAATATTTTTCAGATTTGGTGAAATCAAAGGCCACATCAAAGACTTTCCACTTTTTAAAGTTTTGTCCATGAGTGTAGGCATACAAAGTACACCTGTAGAAATGCGTTAAAGCTACAGAATCTAGAAATATTAGAATATTTTTAAAGGGGACATATCCCTGGATTCTCATATAACAAAGAGCGTGTGGATAATTATAAAATTTGTATATATGTTATAATATAAAAAGAAAAATGAGATTTTCTGCTGATTTTGGAATTGTTGAGATTATGCTATGGTGATGCAGTCGTGGTTAAAATCTTGAAAATATAATAATAAAATTATTTTGATCAGAGATTTCTTTATTTGAGCTGAGGAATATATAATATTAAAAACATAATTTGGTAAAAGTACTGCCTGGCTTAAGGCGAGTAAAACAAGGAAAACAAAAAATTATTTACATAATGTACAAAAGTTTTGAGCCGGCCATCGGGAAATAACAACAACGAGTTTTTATAGGGGAAGCATGACCTCTGGCGGTCGTTTTAACAGAGTATTTGTATCTATGAAATTATAATTTTAAACAGAATAAAATTTTAATATAACATATATATACGATATATAATTTATAAATTATGCTTCAGGGTAGAAAGTATTCATTAAGAATTACACCATCTTCAGAGATATTAATCATTTCATCATTTATTATCATTCCCAGTAAATATAGTTGCATAATCCAATATTGTATTAACAAAAGGTTAAATGAAAAACATTTAAAAATTAGTTATTAGTAAGTAATTAGTTACGTATATGCAATACGTTTCTCAAAAAGTATTTTGTTAAAGAGGATCAAAGAAGATAAATAGCTGGAGATATGTAAATATATAATGTATCAACAATATGCATATCAGAATATGTTTAGGAAAAAGAGATTATATTTTAGGAATAATGGGGCGCTTTTATAATCTTTTGATAAGATACAAGTATTAACTTGTTTTAATACTTGCTTAATACTTGTATTAATAACTCTTTAAAATAGAATAAGCAACACATATCTTAACCGCGAAAATGAGATTTTTTAGATGGCAGAGCCCCATCTAGTGGAGTAAAAATAAACTAAACGTTAATTTAAGCTTGTTATATAATATTTGGCTAATTCATTCTATTGTTAAAGTTAAAAAAGTCAACCAACTACGCGTTTCGGGCTGTTGGCCCTCGTCAGTTTGATGCAGGCTGTACTTCAGCTACAAAATATTTGATCCTAGAGGCTTTCTAAGAAATCAATAAAAGAGTATTTAAATCCAAATTTGCATGAATAAGCTGAAAAGCTCATATTTGCGGTCAGGATATATGCCTATTTTATTTTTTAATATTGTAGCAAAGTATTTATTATATTTCATGTAAAGATTCTTATTTTTTTATATTTATATTTATATATATATAAATCAATGTTTGTATGTTTGTTTGTTTGTATGTCCGGTATACAAATTCGCAGTAGTTCACTAATTCTAACCAAAATTTCCATACATAGGTAAAGAAATACGGGGAAGACGATAGGCTATTTTAAAAAATATATAAATCAATTATTAAAACTATATATTCAAATTATTCTACTTAGCTCACGAACAGCGCCCTCTATTAAAGTGGATATTTTTATTTCAGTACACTTTAGATTAAATTATGCTGATGCAAACAAATAGATAATGCTAATAACAAACAATTATTTAAAAAAATCTTATCTAAATATATATCACTCGGGTAGATATGCACACGGGTCAATCCCGGGGCGAAGCCCGGGTCACCCGTCTCTCTAGTTGTATATATTTTGTTACTTTGGAAACTTCCCTCGTTGCTTATCTTATATCTTATAAATCTTGATTGTGTACTTATATGAAATAAATTGCCGTGTCATCCTGAAGTTTTCTAATTTTCTACGTTACAATATCAACTTTCTTCCCTTTTTTTCCTTAATTTTTCAGATTAATAGATATATATTATAAACAACACTTAAAGTTTCACCGCATAAGTTTATTTTCTGTGAAAAATCAATATTTATTTCAAAGAGAAATATTTACTATTTCTAACTTTTTTGGATGAAGTATGAAAGGGTGAAAATATGAAGAGTAATGGCGAAGTATGAAGTATGAAAGGGTGAAAATATGAAGAGTAATGGCGAAGTATGAAGTATGAAAGGGTGAAAATATGAAGAGTAATGGCGAACGGAAAAATAAAAGTGTCCAGGGGCGGGAATCGAACCCACAACGTTCCGCTCACCGGGCAGATGCCATGTCCACTAGGCTACCCTGGACGTATTTTTCCGTTCGTAAATAATACTTAATGTTAATACTTATAAGTATTAACAACGTAACGTAAGTAATACTTAATACTTATAATGTTTTATAAGATACTAGTAGAAAAGCCCGTCCAAGGACGGCTAGAGCAGGTGGATTCCTAATTCTATTTCTCACATTCCTTTTTGATACTTAATAATATGTAATCGGAAGCGTTCGAGGTAAAAGGTAAATATGTTAACTTTTCTATTAGTTAAAATGATATTTTATATATTTTATAATTTTTCAAATCGACATCAAAATTGTTATTATAATTTAAAAAGAACAGTGAGCCAGAGATAAAAAAATATATTCGCAGTTTTTTTTTGTGACCAAACAAACCAAATATGATGATAAATATCGAATATAAAGTTATAAGTCAAAAACAATTGAGCTATATTAATTAATATAATAAAGAGAAACGGTCATTCTTTTTTCTTTATATATAGGTTTTGCAACTTTAAGATATTTATAAGAGACCACAATAAAAAACAATAATATAAGACAGCACAATTTAATTTTTTACTTTAACAACATTTTCATTTTTAGATTTTCTTTGAAACTCTAACATCAATATGTTTTCGTTATTGAAAAACCTTAATTGGAAATAACATTATTCTTACTATTTTATTTAGTGTGTACTCTCACGGCATAATATCAACATTTTATAGTATAGTGTAAAAATGTATAGTGTAAAAATGCAAAAAAAAAAAACGTTACACTATAATATAACACTATATAATATAACAATGTGACATAGATCAATTTTCGATATATATTGAAATTTTATTCTATTTTATTTTGAGCGTCTATTTTGAATATTCACTAAATATCGAAATTAATATTAACTAAATATCGAATAAAGAATATAAATATTTAATAAAATAAAAAATACGCATAGGCATATTTAATATAAGCAATATTAAAATAGCCAATTTCTGGCGTAATTAAACATTGGCGTATAAAATAGAATATTAAAAGAGTAGTTAGGGAACAAACATACATACAGACAAACAGACATTTTATGAAAAATGACCTTAAAAAAATAAAAACGGTGCTAAAATGAAAAATTAAAAATGAAAAATGTTATTAAAGTGTAAAATTTACTAAAGATTACTAAGATTTACTAAAATGAAAAAATGTCGTCGTTAAAAGTACGCATTTAAATATTTAGACTATAAAAATTAGAAAAGAGAAGGCAAGTATGAAAAGTATTTAAAGTGTAAATTATGAATATTATCAAATATGTGGCTGATGTGGCTAGTGTAAATTACGAATATTTATATATCAAATTATTTCGTTTTATTTCAATCAATGGCCGAGCGAATCGAATAAAGAATATAAATATTTAATAAAATAAAAAATACTCATAGGCATATTTAATATAAGCAATATTAAAATAGCCAATTTCTGGCGTAATTAAATATTGGCGTATAAAATAGAATATTAAGAGAGTAGTTAGGGAACAAACATACATACAGACAAACAGACATTTTATGAAAAATGACCTTAACAAAATAAAAACGGTGCTAAAATGAAAAATGAAAAATTAAAAATGTTATTAAAGTGTAAAATTTACTAAAGATTACTAAGATTTACTAAAATGAAAAATTTCGTCGTTAAAAGTACGCATTTAAATATTTAGACTATAAAAATTAGAAAAGAGAAGGCAAGTATGAAAAGTATTTAAAGTGTAAATTATGAATATTATCAAATATGTGGCTGATGTGGCTAGTGTAAATTACGAATATTTATATATCAAATTATTTCGTTTTATTTCAATCAATGGCCGAGCGTGTCGCTAACGTCGAGCTTAACGTCGAGCTAAATGCGTATTTTTGCTAACTGCGTTATTTTTAAAAGTTTAAATATAATTTTGAAGTTACCTGAATAATTCCGGGACTAAATGTATACGAAATATTGTCGTATAAAATAAAAATATTAAGAGAGGAGTTAGGGAACAAACAAACATCCAGACTACGTAACTTGAACACGTGACACAGAATGGACCAATCCTATTCGGCTTCAACGAACAAACGCTTTATTATATGTGATATATAATTGAACAAACCTGAAACAATGTTTAGTTGATTTTCGTTTCACTATATGGCGATTTGCCATCTAAAATGTCCATTGGAGAGGTAAAAAATAAGCCCCTCATTTTTGTTATTAACAACTTCATTAACAAATTTCGTTTAAATTTACATAATACAGCTTCTAAAATAAGTATGGAAAAGCACAGAACAAACATAATGAACTACTAAATTAAAATATGCAACTTTCTAAGACATTCTATAAAGAATCATGATATAGTAAAACTTGAATAATTCCAACGTCTTTATTCCGAATGGATTACTTCGAAACCAACACATTTTTGTATTGAAACAGAGTTCCTGGTGAGCATCAAAGTAATCTAAAGAATAAAATGGAATTGTGTTGATTTTCCCCTTGAAAATATTCCTCATTGTGTTCCGCTTACTGGGCAGATGCCATGTCCACTAGGCTACCCTGGACCCTATTCCTCATGGTGGTGTCATTGTTACAGCTATATGGATGATCCATAGAATCTTGTCGTGCCACATGTGGAAGAAGAAAAGCATCAAGCGAAATAAACTGATTTTTTTTGCTTATCCCTAGTACACGTGGTACAGGCCATTATAACCATGGTGGGTAGTTAGCGACTGCTTTTACTGTAAGGGCACCACATGTCTACAAATGTGAAAAGCAGTTCGACTTTGCACTTACAAATATGCCAGAGCCCCGTTTGGTTACTTGCACTCGCTGGTGGGGTTGGACTTTTGCAAGAATCGGGGGCCATTGGAGCATTTTTTTTTTTCAAACAGAAAAAAAGTGTCCAATGCGGGAATCGAACCCGGGTCGTAGTGGTCGAAGATCAAACGGTTTAACCAGCCTTCCACCGACCCCCTAATGAATTGAATGAATCAAAGAAAGCTAAAATAGATCTGAATACCTGTACAACGGAACAACATCACGATGAAGTATGAACTTGGCACATTTTTTCCACGATAACATCCATAAACTACCTAAATTATGGGAAAATGTTTTATATCTTTTAATTACAGTACAACTTGAATAATTTGAACATCTTTAAAATTCAAATATTTATCTTGGTCCCTAGAATTTCCTATAAATATAATTTCCATTTTTAATTTGAATTTTTGTATAATTCGGATTTTCTTTTATTTTGCTTCCTTGGTCTTCGGGATTATCCATATTCAACTGCATCATAAAAGATGTGGGGGTACCCAAATAAAGAGAAATTGATTTAATAAAAAACGAAAAAAAAAAGAAATGTTTAACATAACCATACCAAAAAGTTTCACAATTCTGACAATTAAAACAATTATTTAATATCCCAACAGAAAAAATCTCTCAACATAGGATCTTATGTGAAAAAAAATAGTACAAATGTGATATTGTACTGGGATAAGGTGCATAAATTATGAAAAAAAGGCATCTTCTTATCGTGCAACTGAAATTTGCTGATGGCTTGCGCCATCTATCGGAATAAATACCAACTATTTACTGGAATCTCAAATAGTGCATTCAACGACAGATGAACAAATTTACACTGCAACGATCTTTATGAATAAGAGGTTAAAATTTAATAAAATCAATAAATTCACAAACTCCTTTTGTACAACCATTTCTTTAAATTCAGCAAAATCAAATACTATTATCGCAAACTTTTATATACATCCACATAGATTTAATGACGACAATCGAAAATTTATCCAAGAGCTTCTGGAGACCTACAATCAACAACCTATTATACTATGTGGTGATTTCAATTCTAGACACCCAGTCTGGTTTGATCCGACAACAAACTCCAATGGTTTCAAATTCCACTCCATCATAGATTAACATAACCTATTTATTCATAATCTTAAGATACCCACCTGCCGAAATTCTAGCTTTATAGATCATACGATATCAAACAAAAAATCAATAAGTTTGGTACAAAACTGGAAGACGACTATATTGACGCACATTTCAGATCACGTAGCAATAACCTTTGACATTTATCACAATTTTAACAGGCAAAGGACAGTTCAAAACTCAACATGGAAATTTATAGAAAAAGATGCTGATTGGAAAACATTTACCGAAAAAATAGCAATACAAGACGTAGATAATATTATCACCATGATAAACCACGCGTCAAACATCAAAGATATTGACAACATTGTAAAGACTCTCACACAAATAATTAAAGAGGCAGCTTATCTGTCACTAAATGTCAAGACAGGAAGCGGAAATCATAAAACAAATACATACTGGTGGGATGGGAAGCTGGAGAAAATGAAAAACGATTTCCACTATATTAGAAATTTGTATTACCGACATGGAAAGGTCCTTGAAAAGACCTATAAATCAATGAGAAATAAATATTTAAATAAAAGTAAAAAGGCAAAAAGAGCGAGTTGGAGAATTTTTATAGAAGAGAGTCATTCAAATAACTCATTTGGTAATGCTTACAGGATATTCAAGTCATTGAGATCGAAAAATAGAAATTTAGGATTACCACTAATAGATAATTTACCAGATCATTTAAAGACCGACAAAATAAAAAGTTTAATGAACGATCTATTTCAGGATGATATTGGAGGTTTGGATAAAGATGATCATATTTTGATTAGAAATTATACGCCTAAATATAAAAATAAAAGTAGTGTTTATATCGAATCTAAGGAAATATAGAGGAAACAATTTTAAAAACAAATATTAAAAAAGCACCGGGCCCTGATTACATTAGTAACAATATGATTAGACAGGCTAAAATAAAAATAATCCCAATTCTGCATAAATTATTCAATAAATGTATAGAAATGGGATATTATCCGGATGAATGGAAAAAATCATTCTTAAAAATAATTCCAAAACCAGGCAAAACGAATTATGAAATAAATAAAAGTTATAGACCTATATCATTGACATCTAATCTATCTAAAACATT